CTGCAATTTATTCATTTACCTGTGGAAGGACATTGGGTTATTATCAGGTTTGGGCAATTATTGAAGAGCGCTTTTAGAAATATCCATGTACACATAGGGTGTATGTGTGTGTATGTGTGTGTGTGCACGCTTTAATTTCTCCAGTGTAAATACCTAGGAATGGGATTACAGGGTTATATGGTAATTATGCAGTAAGTTATGCAGGATGATAAATGTATGAGTTTGTAAGAATAGAGTGGCTGTGTCACCTGCATTCCTGCTGGCAATATATGCGTGTTCCGGCCCTCCCTGGTGGCGCAGCGGGTTAAAGCACAGCACTAAGAAGCTAAAGCCCCTTCAGCATGAGTTTGATCCCTGCCCTGGAGGTGACCACATGGCATGGCAGACCTCTCATGACCTGCCCACTGCTCCCCTCAGCAGTGTACTTCGTCAGTCAGCCTGTTCTGCTCCCCACTCTGTCTCTGGTGAAGCCTCTCACTGCCCCTGCACCTCTGGCCTGTACCCCAGTTCTGTATGCATAAATAAATCTTAAAAAAATATACACACAACACATATATACATACACATACATGCATATACACCCATATATGTATGTATGTATACACACATGTGGTCCAGTTCCTCCACATACCACCAACACTTGGTATTTTGGCCATTCTATTAGGTATGAGTTACATCTCATTGTGATTTTCATTTGTGTGCCCCCAAGTAATAAAAAATATCTGTTTTAGATGCAGTGATCTAAAAATCTTTTGCTTACTTTAAAAAAACTGGTTACTTTGTTTTTCAGTTTTGACAGTTTATCTATTTTTTCAGATATAATTTACAAATGTTTTCTTATCTGTATATTGCCTCTTTATTCTCTTTAGTGTATTTTTGCAGAGCAAAAGTCCAATTTATCAGTTTTTTCCTCTGTTGTGGATTGTGCCTTTGCTGTCATATCTAAGAGGCCTGTTTACCCCAAGGACATGCAGATTTTCTCTCCACATTTTGTACTTTCACATGTATGACCCAGTTAGAGTGGTGTCCATGTGAACTCTGTTCTACTACATGGTCTGTGTGTCCACTTCTTTGCCAATACTCACCACAGGACAGTGTATACTTACAGTACACACGTCTTCAAACTGAATATTGTGACTTCCTCCCGATTTTTTCTAAAATTGTTTTAGCTTTCTTAGTTTCTGCTTTTCCATTTAAGTCTTAAAGTCTGTGTATTTCTACAAAAAAAGAAATCCTGGGACTTTGGTTGAAATTGAGTTAAATCAGTAGATCAATGTGGGTAGGATTAACATCTGAATTGTGTGGTCATGGATTTCGTGAACATGATACCTCCCCACTCATTTGGTCTTCTTTGCTTTCGTCAGCATTTTTTATATTTGGATTTATAATTTTTAGACTAAATTTTGTTAGATTTCTTTTTTTTCAAACTGTTCAGAATGGTGTTTAAAAATACTCTGGTTTCCAACTGTTACTTGGTAGTATATAGAAATACAACTGATTTAGGTTGACTTTGTATCTTATATCTTTTAACTTTGCTAAATTTCATGTTAGGGTTTTTTTTTTTTTTTTTTTTTTTTTT